CTCACTCGGGACATCGTATGAGAATATGAGAATATGTGATCTCGCATCTTAGCTGGCATCTGGATATGTTTCTGTGGTCTTGTATAGCACTATAAAGAGCACATATTCAACTATGTTCGATTACATTCAGCTCATAGTTCCATAGTGCCGCTTAATGTCCAATACTACATACTCCATAGCCCAGCTGGCACGAGGATAGCGTGCGATACTTCTACTTTCGACGCTGGGGTACCCCATGCTTCCCCACAATTGGTGTTTTTGCCACTTTGGTCTTTTTTAGTATGTTCTCTGATAAAGACCGCTTTATTTCATATATTCGGAGGGGAAAAGAACCTCATATACTTTGTCTAAATTGTGTAACCCTTGAAGAGTAGCCTCTGCGTGTTTTGCATCTAGGAAACTTAATGTATCCTACCCGAAGAATATCCTTTGAAAGATTTCATCCGCGATGAGCAGATAGACCAGAGAAAACTTGATGCAGCGTACTCATATGACCATGATTTCGACATTGGTCCCTAAGTGGTGGCATGAACTATACCGATGATTTGATATCTCCAGAATAACCCCCCAAATATGAACGTGAACAGCACTAATATTGTCTGAAAGCCACCGATACACCTGAAACTCCATGCAAATGACTGTTTTGCTTTGATTGTCCAATGCAGTCGGGTCCGTAATCGGCAACGGTCCTATATCGTCCCCGAATCCAAGTATCACGGCTCACTTCTACTCCAATTTATCCAGGTGTTCCAATCGCGTGAGAACAACCTGCTTGCTTGTCTCTTGAATCTCGCCCGCGAGAAATACTTCATCCAGGATAGCGTAGACCTATAAATCCGGCACACGTGGTCAGTATCACGGCTCATGCAACTCCGATCTCACACATGCCGAGCAGTGCATTCGTCCCGGCGACTTGCACGTACCTTGTAGAAATTGAAGACCAAATCCAGTTCGCACACATTGCCGAAGAACTGGTCCAGCACTTCGACGAAGAAATGAATGGCCTCGAGATAGGCTAGCTCGTTGTCGTTCGCATCGACGCAGACGCAAAAGAACAAGCCGGCATATCTTCGGTAGACGACCTTGGTACTCCGGCGGAACTCAACAAAGTTGGACTGATATTTCTGATCTCGGGGGGCGACGAGGCGATGGACCTGAACGGTTGTCGGTTATTAGTTGGATGGGAACTCGGAGTAAGTGCGGGTGCGGGTGGTATTGCAATTGCGACGAACCTCGCCTTTCAGTTTGACTTTCTCTTCATCCTGTAGCCCAGTGTCAGCTCAAAGTCCCAATTTCATACCGACTGATGGATTCTGGCAACACTCACACTGTACGGTGAATACCATTTCGCCAGGCGCGTTTTCCCCCTATACCGTCATTAGTGTCGAAATTGAAAATGACCCGCGCGGACACCACTCACTGGCGATTCTGAACCAGGATAAAGGAGAGGACCATTGTTATAGAAAGCCAGGATGTTACCTGGTCAGCATTTATGAAACCACTCGGAGGGAGTGTTGCGACAAGCTTTGGATGGTCTCCGCTGCTCCCGTTATCGAAGCTCCCCTCTCATCTTGCCCGGACTCACCGCCTAGATGGATTCTATCAGGTGAAAGCAGGGCATGGAGAATTACAGCAGACTATTCTACTAATCCTCAAGCAATTTAGTTCCCATAAGACATTCAATGCATCAACTCAACTAGTATAACAATATTTGCAAAACATAGAGTATCAACAGACATAAAGCGTAGAATTCGTTAACAGCTCCCATGACAGCCCGGTGTAACATGTGACAATGAGTGACACTGCACAGTGACGGAATAAGATATTCTGGTTTGCCATGTTCCATAGCGCCCAGCAGCCCTCACCCCGAGCTCATTCGATTGAAAAACCTCGTCAGACGAGTCTAGAAATACTCCATTAGCAACCAAGTAATGTAGCAGTAAGACCAAGAGCAAGTCCACGAAAGAAAAAAACCACATACCGTATAGCTCTGTGGCCTAGGAGGCTCTTTCGGACTACCCTTCTGACTCTGCGCTTGGCTCTGAGCCTGACTCTGAGCCTGACTCTGGCGCCGAGTCTGGTTCTCATCCTCAGACTCATCTTCAGACCCGTAATCCTCCTCCGAATCAGGATACCACCGTTCCGGATCCCCATTGTAGACAAGATACCAGCCGATTTTCTCACCGGGGGCGAGGCGATCGCGCAATTCCTCCAGCGCCGCCATCTGGTCGTCCGTCAACCCAGAGCCCTGTTCCACGCAATCGATATTCTCTCCGGCGCCACCACCACCCCCGTCCTCCGGCATCTCCAGGACCCGCGTTGAAATATACGCATGGTCCTGGCTGACGGTGCCACTCGTCTCGTCGGCCGGGTCATACTGCTCGATAAACGACAGCTCCGGCAGCCGGGTCACCAGGTCCGCCTGTGTTTTGTGGAAGGATTCTGCGATAAGTTCGGTCGTCAGCGGTTGCTGGATGTATTCCGCTGCTGCTTCTTCTAGGTTGTGGAGTACGATGTATACGCGGATCCCCGTGAACCCGGCGCGGGGCCAGCGGAAGCCGTGGAGCATATAGACTGGCATGATATCCGGGTCTTTTCTTGGGAGCCTTGTTTCGGGGTTCGGGAGGGTTATCGCGGTGTCTAGCGACCGCTAGCTGGGGAGGATTGTCAGATTTGCAGGGGATTCGGAGTTCATATTAAGTCTGTGTCATGGCGGGTGGTCTATCGACGCGATTGGGTTTTGCGGGTCCCGTGCGTTTCAACGGGAGTTCCGATTTGTACTGCTTTAATGCCTCCAATGAATGCGTGGGATTCGAGATTAAATCTATGCTCGTGTTTCATTGGATTTTAGGTGATAACCCCGAAACCCACAGGTCTGGAGAAGATCGTGCCTTGCTTCTATCACGTGTCATATTATTAGTTGGCAGTAGAGGCTCTTAGATGCTCTCTATTATACCCAATTACTGCATTCACAAAGCAGAATGTGCTATTCCAATTATTCTCTCGGATTCGTTTTTCTCTCAATGTTGGAAATACGAACTCCCAACCTCCGAGTTCCGTAGAATATGACAGGTCATATTCGGGGAACCGCTTGGTCTAATTTAAAATCTGTGACTTGTCGAGCCAGTCAATTGCAGTCAAAGCGAATCGTTAAAATAGGACATTTGATTCATTATGCAGGGCTAGAATCAAAACGTTCGACCTAGCGAAGCCCTGTCTAAGGCACTGAAAAGGAAACCGACATGAAAAATGGCTAAAATCAAGACGCTGAGTGCCGAGTTCTGGTGAATATCGAGATAGCTCCTCAATCATGGTCTCCTCTTCAAATCCGCAAATCTCCGTGTCAATTCATCCAGCTCGGGTATCCCATTGTTGTTACTATTGCTCTTGGAGGCACCGTCCTCCCTTGAGACAGCAGCGGCTTTTCCCTCTGTGCCGGGAAGCTTGACTCTGGGATTGGGATTGTCTGTCCTGGGAGCTGGCGGCGCAACGCTGACAGGACTTCGGCCCGCAGTGAGTCCACGTGGAGGCGTAGCTTTGGTCAATTCACTGGTCTCCGAGGCACGTCTCGCTTCAGCCAAGTTCGGCCTCAGCGCCGAGTCCCCTTGCTGCTTGCCAGGAGTTTGCGGTAATTGGGGTTCCTCTGCATCACCATCGTCACCATCACCAAGGTCATCAACAAATTCTGGCGGCGCACTTCCCAACTCTTCTTCTGCCCCATGCCACTCAACGTGGTACGCTTTCGCAATCTCTCGAAGGTAACTCTCAACAAGATCCCGTCCTGGTGGGCGCACACGCAAGCCCTTGAGAAGCCGGTCCGGAACCTTGACAGTATCGATCTTATTATCTTGCGCTAGAGTCATAAACTCCTTGCCGTATCGCTCGCCCAGCATAGTACGAAGCATAGTGAATTCGCGCACCTCGTGCGGGAAGCGATGCCACGCGTAGAATACCACAGTAGCAGCCTCGTCAAGCGCAGTATCGAGGTAGGGGTTATCGTCATCCGCAAGCCCATCACCAGAGTCATCCGCCGGACTACCAGATCCTGTGATAGGCGCAGCCCGCTCAGCCTCCTTCTTTTGCGCTCCTCCACCCAGCCAAGAGAACCCGAATATCGAGCCAGTGCTTTCCCCAGCGCCCTTGACGCCTGCAGTGGTTGATACCGTAGCACCGGCTTGTTCTTGGGTGCGCTTCTTGAGCAATTCCTTGGCGCGAAGTCTGGCGCGGGTCCCTTGGTCGCTGAAGGCCATCTGATCCAACACGTTTGCGCGCGCAAGCAGCAACTCACAGTAGAGCTCGACCATCTCCATTACCTCTACTGCGATATCCGTTGCAATGACATTTTCGACTCGGATGCGCGCTGATGCATCGCGGCCTTCGCTGAGGAGCTGGGAGAGTTCACGGCGTTGGACGACTGAGGAGGCTGTATCTTTCTTCTGTAGGAGACGGAGACGAGGAATAAGCAGGCGGAGGGTGGAAACTAGTCTGGTCTTTGATTCCATTGTGTCAGTTATTTGGTTTCTGTCAGACGCGCTTAGGAGTTGCAGCAGGCAGGCGTTATATGGGCAGTGCGGGGTAGTCTTGGGAGCTCTAGGTAGCGATATTTTGGGGAAGTGCCCCGGTCATGAAATGCATATGCGAAAGAAGAAGAAAAGTAAGTGAGATCATGATGACTTACTGTTTGCGCCGAGGGAGGCATTTTGGCGTGGTAACTTGTTGAAGAGAAGATGAGGGGGGAAATGGAGCCCGATGGGGCCGAGAGACCTTGGGGTCACCACTACTCCATCGGGTTACCCTTTGTTTTCTCACAGTCGAAACTTGAAGAATCCACCAAATTAAACCAATGCAATATAACCTGTTAATTAGGCATTTGATGTGTTCTCGGTGTTTCAAGGAGTTCTGGGAGGTCCGCCCACTCCCAAGGTCAGCCTCGGCTTGACCTACAGTTCTACCGCAAAAGTTGTACAAAGTTGCCTACATAGTTCATTCAACTTGACAACATGTGGCTGGTTCCCCAATTCCTGAAAAACCTCTGGTGTAGGGGTTCAAACGAATATCCTGTCTTTCCCCCGCCAGAGCCCGAAGAACTCCTCGCTCGCCCTAATGTCTACCGCGAACGCCTCTTCCAACGCATCTATCGAACTCCTAAAGACAAGCTGGAAGACACCCCACTGTTTTCACTATACCGACTCTATGAGAGCTTGGTTTTGAACGACAACATCGGCCTGCGAAACGAATTCGAATATTTCTGGTACGCGAAGTGGCCGGTCGTTTCTATTCCTGATCCACAGGACCCCTCCAAATCTCGCTACGCGGTTCTTTCTGCTATCCCAGCCTTTTTAGTCGAGTCATTTAACCAGCGTATCGAGCTGGGTCTCCCACGGAAAGCCGACCCCATCATGTCCCGCGAAGAAATGGAGCAGTACCAAAAGGAGGACAGGATATTCGAGTCAGCGCCAGAGTGGACGGACCAGGTGGCGCGGCTCGAAGATACCCTAGTCATTCCACATGATAACGAAGAGATTCTTGGGTCGTTCGATGATAAAAGGGCTAGTGAGCAGCTGGCAGCGAAAAACATCTTGCATTGGCAACCAGATATTCATCTCATTTGAAGGTTGAACATGTTGGCCTATGATTTCCGATGAGTTATGACGCGATGAATTGTTACTCTCATATATATTTCGCTTAGTGAAAATCGATAGCAATTGCACTTTTGTCCTCGCTTCTCAACACACTTGGTGCAACGGCGGCATTGGCGACGAGTGTTTCTTGCGGTGGCTCAGTGTTTCTCCCTATAGTGATCTTGCTCCATATGGTCTGTTTGAGAGCCCGAACTATATCGTAACTTTCCCATCGCATCTCTAGCCCATTTACAACGTCCTTGATTCCATCGTGCTGGATGACAGCAACACCGAATGCCCCATGGATATGTCCACAGACAACCATCTTGGGCTTTACTCTTTGTATCTCACGCAATAGATACCCATCCCCTTTAACCTTGATCTTTCCATCCGGTCCCTTTTCGCTATCGCAGTCACCATATAGAGCTGGAGGGCCATGCACCACCAGAATATCAGTATTATCGGGGATCTGCCCGGTCCGCACGTCACGGATTGAAGGATACTGAAAGGCCCAAAGGCCAAACTCCGGCGTCATTGGAGATCCATAAATTTTCACCCGGCGCACTTGCTGCTCCCCGGCAGCGGGCACTGGTATTTCCAGCGTCACTGCTTCTTCTTGCAAATAATGAATCCCCGTCCAATCCAATTCCTTTCGCTTCACAGCACTAATTCCCTCGCGCGAAAGAAACTTCATCTCGCTTGCTTCATCGAGGATAAGATCATGGTTTCCCGCGATGACAATCTTATGGGTGTGTGGCTGAGAAGACAGCCAGTGGAGCTGTGTTTGCACCTCGTCAAATGTGCCATGGGCCGTTAAGTCACCCGCGTGGACTAGTATATCTCCGGGTGGCAGAGGAGGGGTTGCATTGTGCGTGTCTGATATGCATATTATGCGGATTGGAGGGTGACTTGGGTTATTTGGAAGAGGAATTGGTGTTGTCGATGGTTTTTGTCGTGCAGACTGCGTGGCTCCTCGGAATAAGATATCCCAGAGGGGCTGTACTAAACGCTCCAGCCATATTGGTGGTCATGATAAGTTGTATGGGAAGGGAAGTAGATGGTTGTTCATTTGGAGTTTTCCTCCAACTAACCCCCTACAACGTTGACCAAATGAGGGGGATAATTAATGATTCTAAAGTTCCCCGTGTCACGCGCGGCGCATGTGAACTAACTAGTTACGTCATCGTATCAGAAGGGCGAACTGTAACTATAGAATATCTATTGTGAGAACAGCATAATTCTCTTGAGCACATCGATGTTCCTAAAGATAGATTGATGGTTGGATCACGTCTATCGTAGAAAAGACACCTAAATATTCACGAACCCGACAAGGGAGCATAGACCAATCAAGAGGAGATACATCATGAAACGCTTATAGTACCATATCCCTCTTCTCACCATCATCCTAAGTCTAGGCTGATCACAAGACAGATTAGGAAGAGTAGAAAGCGAAGCTTCTAGAGAAATTGAAGTGGCGAAGAGAGAGACGATAAGGGTATAGATCCGATTAGAGTAGGATAGGTAGACGATGCTCCTTTGATTGATATTGATAATCATTCTGAGCCTATTTTGCCAAATAATGGCACCTGGGTACGGCCCCCAGGCAGGAAGTTGGGCAGTGGAGAACATAAAAGAATGAGGCACCTAATGCGGCTGGTGTAACCCATGGGGTATCTACCACAAGCTTCAATTGATGGTAAAGAAGGTTCCTTGATGCTTGATTCTACCGATCAATGTCTGCTCAAAACTGACGATTCAATCGGAGGCCATCATAATCAAGCAAGCCTCATATAGAAGTCAAAACAATTATACTTTTATACACTTTATTATGTGTGTCATTCTGTGCCTGTGGTCTGTGATTCTTATTCTTCTTAGATCTTAGATCTTAGATATATTATAGAGCGATTTAGGTTATATTCAATGTTTAGTATATTATATCAGAAGACAGTCACGACCCAAACGACCAATATCAAATATCCACCGCGACGATATCTCCAAGCCTTCTTCCTGGTCCCAATAATCTTTCATAATCTTTGCTGCATTGACAACATTCAAACATCTCGTAGCAGTCCAAAACTTCTCTAACGATTCAACCAGGAAGTCTTTCTGGGCGCGAGACCGACATTCCAAGCCCGCCACGAAGATAGCCCACAGAATACATTTGAAAAGCGCCTCGTCATCTTTCAAAATATCAATCAGACCCAACAGCTCAAAGACTAAATCGTCCTGCACTGTGATTGTTTCCGTCAGTACATCCAGAATGCGTCTCCCATATATCAAAGCCCCGGTTTTGAAAGCCTGCGATAATGTGCAGAGATAATTGATTCTTTCTGGGGCAGACTGTCGCAGACTCGAAGCCCAGGCGTAACTGTCAAAGTTTTGGATGAGCTCCAGCATCGCGGTGGTGTCTTGGATATGTGTTTGGAGAGCGGCACCGTCCGGCAGCTGTTCTGCGATGGCGTCCCTTTCCTTGGAGAGATATTGTATCGCCGACAACAGGAACTCTGGACATCCAAGGAAAGATTGCTCGATTTTTTCCTGGGATTGCCTTTCTGCTTGGCCGTTAAATATGAATTCTGACAGTAGTTTTGGTCGTAAAAATGTTGCCCCGAGCGTCTCGATTCTATTTTGTAATCAGTCAGTCTCTCGCATGGCTTTATACCACTAGGCCTAATCTAACTCACAAATGAATCTGATTGGAGATAAACCCCCGGATCTCCTGTACCGTCTGTCCAGGTCCATCATTGACTCCAGCTTGCCACTCCAGTAGCGGCTGGTAGGATGTAATCAAACTCTTAGCACCCTCAAGATGGAAATTCCAACCTTCACTCCCAGATTCGAGGAGATCCAGAAAAATAAAAAGAAATATGCTAGCGACGGTTGTGTCGCCTTTTCCTATTGTTCCGTCACCAAGTACCTGAGAGAGAGCTTCCATGGCTTGGTGTTTGAAAAGTAGCGCATCGCGATTGGCATTAACGAGGCCAGGAGATGTAGGAGGTTGATCTTGATGGAACGACTGGCCTGTATTAGCATGGTGCCGCGCCGCGAGAGCAAGTATGCCCTTCTGTAAGACCGGGTCGTTCAATCCAAAGGAGAGCAAGCTCCGGAATGGATTCCTGGCGCTGTCGTATACAATGAACAATTTGCATATGTGTCTGTTATCTAAATGCGATGTCAGCTATTAGTACCCTAGTGTTAGCTGTTTGCATGCGGATCTTACAGTAGTCTATATAATATTTCGAAGTTTGATCCAGGCTTGACATATGCGGATCTTGCAAGGCAGCCGGCAGCATACTACCTTGGACCAGCGGGCGGGGCGATGTATTTGGTGTCGATAGCGCGGAATCGATAGTTCTAGGAGTTTGCACAGGAGATCCATCTGATCCATCTGATATACTCTCGTACGAATGGCCTTGCATCTTTCCGCGAATCGCAACACCCTTGACCCACCTCAGAGGTCTCTTATCGAAGCACTCCAGGTCGGCTCTTTCGCACTTGGTGCATGGTGTTCCAGACTGGTCGCATTGAATGCGGCGGTTGCGACATGTCCAACATGGATATGGCATAGGGAATGTGCAATGTGGGGAAGAAGGGTATCAGATACTCGAGTCGGGAGATATGAAGCCCTGGAGATAAGACTTGCTGACTGAGCGGACCCGTGGACCGGCTATCCATGGATCCATCCAACCACATACCTGTCGACGGCAATTCTTCGCCATCACGACAATGTGTTTGAACTTGGGTCTTCCAATGTATCAAGTTCATGAATTCAGCGCATAGTATATGTCTGTCATTCCTGCTCTTTAAGAAGACAAAGAGAAATACCAACAGCACAGAAAAAGAGACTAAAGAGATCCTTCAAACGTCAAGAGGATATTAGAGACGATCTATATAAAGTACCTAGACCCACTGAGAGGCTAGTCATCCCTCATAAGTGGCTATTCCTTTATATTATGCCTATATGAATATTGGCTTTCTCTTCCACAAAACCCAGTGTATATAGAATGGCCCCGCTATGTCCCCTCTAATTGATAATCTAAACCCCTTTGAAGGCCACATTGAACCATATAGTAATAGACCGCTGAATCGAATTCTGCTAGTTCAGAGCAATATGTCGCAAGACTCCCAGAGTATTTATTCACACCACACCACGACGTCCAAAGACAGTGGGGCTTAACAAGATTAGCAACGGAGAGACCGAGCCATCTGAGACATGTAAGACCTAAGCAAACAGACTTGCAGCAACCCCCGTCCTCTCATCCCTCGAATTGCTGCAACCAATGCGGGTCCGACGGCGCGCAGAGAGAGACACCAGGCACCGTCGAGCCAATCAAGCACCGCACAAGCGAAATCGGACCCAAAAAAAGCGAGAGCAAGCCACTATAGGAAATTAGACCTAGACAATTGAGGTCCGTCCATGAGAAGAGAGTAAGTTCTCCGGTCAAAATTCCCAAGGCCGTATATTTAGAACATTTAGTCTTTTGATTGGTCGATCCACCAGTCATTCAGCTACGCTGATTGGCCCGCTCGGTTCCTGACATCATTGGCGTGGGAGTCTGTCGCCGCTATACCTATTTAGGAAGAATATCACAACTGTATGGTCGATTTTAGCAATCCCTTCGCGTTTCAGTATTGCTTAGCCGTAGATGTGAGGCTTTAGCGTGCAGGGTATGCTTACTTATATAACTGGCAGAGTTTGCCCACTGAATGTAGTCTACTGTTTCCTATCTCATCCCACAAGAGGTACTTCGAATCGACCAACACGAAGAATCTGACATTGACACCTTCCACCTTCTTTGACTACAGTATGCGCCTATCTACTCTCATATTATGCCCCTTATGGCCAATAACTAACGAGACACTTTCTCCTCTGCAGCCTCTTCAAACCACAATGCCTACCATCCCACCCACGATAGAGACAACAATGACACAAACATCCACAATCGATAGCGCTACAAGCTTGCTCAAGCGTAGCAGCATGAGCAACCCCGACAAATACCCCCTCTACATCTTCCTCATCCTCGCCGGATGTATTGTAGGAGGAGTCATCGGGTTCAGCATATACTCCATGTACTACGGCCTCGACGATTCAGGCACGTTCAAGGACGTGGGCTACGAGCAACGAAAATACATGCGCGAGACCAGGCAGCGGACTATGAACATGCTAGCTGTTGAGGCGAGGAGACCTGATATGATTGTTCCCGTCGGGGAATTGGATGCTTGAATTGCTTGGGTCTGGCGTTTGGGGATGTCTACATGAGGAAGGGCCTCTAGTAGTTAGGTATGGATGGTTTGGTTCGATGGATATTATATGTAAGCAACTGGCAATTATGATGTATGCACCCGCTATATATATCGGAATAAAGACAGGTTCAATGTTTGTGTATATTCAATTAACCAAGTATTCCAAGGACAGTGGGATGCTTGACCCGAAAAATCAAAGCGAGGACGAACGATGAGAGAGCGCTCTGTATAATCAGCAAAGATCTGTCTGAGATCTTTACCCTAGTGGTAAGTATTGACGAATAAAGAAAATGAACACTGTCTTTCAATGTGCAATCAAAAAGACCTGGTTGGTTCCAGCTTCAACAAGCTGTCACATGTGATCAAAACAAACCCCCTGCATACCAGAAGCAATAAGAGTAATATTCAACAAGCTGAAAAAGAAGAGCAATGCCGTGGAGCAAAGGGATATAAAAGTCATGAAGCAGAGTAGGAAAAAAAGTCCAACGTTGAGCGTCGTCAAGAAAGGGCATCCGAGGGATGACAAGAATCGTAAAAATGGAGATTATGTAGAAGAAGAATTAAAATGTGAAAGAATCGAACAATAGATGCCCGCGGGTTTACCGCAGGCAGATATAGTGCAGAAGAATGCCCCAAGGCAGTGTTTGTACACACCCGTACATATATGCAATATTGTACTCTCAATATAGCCGAATCAGTCAGCGCTGATTTAGAAATTCACGACAATGGCCGCAAGCGCACCGAATGCCAGGGTCACCATGGAGATAGTGGCACTGGTAGCACCGCCAGTGGCGGAGGATGGGGACGCAGCAGCGGCGGCAGCGGCCGTCATGGAGGCCGCTTTGATATCAGCAGAACCAGTCAGAACGTGCGGCTGGTACGTATAGCTTAGTGTCAGGCTCGAGTTGGGTAGGCGCGCGCTGGGGCTAGTGGCGCTCATGATAGGAGTTGTGGTGGAGATGGAGCTAGCAGTAGAGGTGGAGATAGCAGTAGAGGTGGAGCTAGTAGGGGTGGAGCTAGTAGTAGAGGTGGAGCTAGAGGTCGAAGTGGGAGTCGAGGTCGAAGTCGACGTAGGAGTAGAGGTGGAGGTAGGGGTGGGTGTGGATGTGGGTGTGGGAGTCTCAGTGGTGCTAGTACTAGTGCTGGTCGGAGTAGGAGTGGGAGTCGAGGTGCTGATGCTGGAGCTGCTAGTGGAGGTAGGAGTGCTGGTGGAAACCTCGATGGTCTCAGACGAGGTGCTGCCGTTACCCTCCTTCTCGAAGACGATAATGTGCGCGGTCTCGCCCTTAGGGATGGTCACGACGCAACCGGTGGCGTCGCCAGCGCCAGTGAAGGGCTGACCGATCATCTCGTTGACATCGTTGACAGCAGGGTCGATCTTGCAGGGCAGGCCGTTGCAGCCATCACCCTCACACTCAATCTCGATACCGAATTCAGGCTTGACTTTGCGGAAAGGCGTGGTGGGTTCCAAGTAGATGGGGTTCCAACCGATCTTCAGGAAGGTGTTGCCATTCTCGTCGGTGTTGGCCCCTGCGGTATACGGGGACCAGTTACCGACGGGGTTCTCGGAGGTACCCCAGACACATCCTTCCTCCGCGGTGACACCAGGAGCGTTAATATAGTACTGGGCAGCAGTGGAGCACCAGTAGGACATGCCGGGCACGGCCAGGTCGGCCAGCTCATCAACCATGGTGGGGATAAGCATGGCCTCATTTCCAGGCAACACAGTCTGGCAGAAAGAGACAGACTTTCCAGCCTTATTGTGGGCCTTGAGAACACCAGTGGCCGACTCACAGTAGTCGCGGTTGGGGAAGGGTTTCTGGATTTTGCCATCCTCGTCACAGTACAGACCACCCCTCATGGACATGGGGTACGAGTAGGACGTCGCATCGGGATCCCACTGCATAGACACCTGGCCGGGAGGGCAAGCGTAGGGGCAGTAGTTGCCAGGTTTGCAGGGCTCGTCGGGGCTCATAGCCCAACCGGCGTTTTGCTCTTGCGGGGTGATCTCAACCAGGCCAGCATCGGTGGGGAACTCGCACTGTCCACTCCTCTTTTCCAAAACAACATCACGAGTCTCGTGGTGATGGCTGTGGCCATGGCTATGTTTGGCGGCTTCAGCGCTCGCAATGAGGGCGACAAGCGCCGCTGCGCGGAAGGATGTGATCTGGAACTTCATTGCGTTGGGGAAAAGACTCGGCAAATTGATAATATAAACGAATGTATGTATGAAGCGAGTGGCTAAGTCAAACGAGTGACAAAAAGATACGGCCGATGGCCAAGGGCAGACACAGTGCTCACAGATAATGAAGGTCAAGACAAGCGAAGGGAAACAGACGGGGAAAGCACCAAGAAAAGGGACACGGCCTCTAGGGAGTCCCGGCTCAGGTCCACGAGTGTGCTAACCTAATAAGGCGTTAGATCTGGGATGATGTGCGCGCAATTCCGGTGCAGAGCAGAGCAGCCCCGACTTTCATAGGCGGCTCGTCCGTGATTGACCATAATTCCCATAATTGCGCCCTAAACTGGAAATATGGGCGCAGCCTTGGACCCCCAAAATGCTGTGCCCCTGAAGCAGACTCCACTAGTGGACAGCCACTAGACACTTAGTGTCAGGGGCAATGATAGCCTGCAGCCAATGATGAACGCCATTACCCCGATGGTTCCTGCTTGGCAGGGGGAAGGGCCAATAAGCTAAGAGATATGCATTTTGTGGAGTTGTCTCTCGAACTCTTTCAACGGCAAAATAAAAGCAAAAGATAAGTGTTCAAATGAAGAGGTGAAGAAAAGGAGGAAAAGGCGTGCGCAACCTTTACCTGAGAAATCCTGTCACATGACACCTCAATATCCACAACATACCTGGGTAACTAACCAACTAATAAATGTGGCATGAGAAAAACCCAAATTAAGTGAACTCAGACTTTACCGAGTACATCGTACGTTCTGCACGAGAAGAAGAAATATCCACCGAAACCAATGAATGAGTTAATATTCCCAAAATGGGAAATATTGCTCATTTAGCCTAGTACCCGTCAATCCCAATCAAACCCACCATACTACACCGTTTTAAACATGTTGATCAACACAAGTGGGCTCTCTTCTCTTTGATAGGCATGGAATCACATGGCCAAGAAATTCGAATCCTTAGAGCGTTTGTCCCGGCTGCCAATGTGTCGCTCTGTGGTTTAGACAAAGCTTGACCTGGGAGAGTATGGGGGTTTTCATGGCAAAGCAAGCAATTAACAAGATCGCCGCTAAGATCACTTTGATCAAGGGCTCCATGAGACGCTATGTCCAAGATCCGCCAGAGTTGCCAGTTGTAAAGTGTGCATTCACTGCATTGTGAGGATGCCCGGTATCATCCGGAATATCAATGCAAGAAGCATGGACCTGATTAGTACGTGATGCAGGTGGATGTCGGTATCTTCGATGGCTTGGGCCAATTATATCGGATTATAAAAGTCTTCCGGTTAGTTAGTTACGTCGTCAAAGACCGAGCGACTCTTCTTTGTACTTCTTCAAACTGCGATTTATATAGCTTAGTACCTAGCCCTAAGCTGCGGCGATCCTTGCGGCGTCTACAATCATCTCCTATTGCAACGAATGCTAAGAGTGAAAATCAAGAACGGCATTGCGTTGCGCATGATAAACAGGATGTCTTTTTTGAGTTTGCTGTAAGGACTGTTGATGTTCCTCGCATGGTGAGTATCCACTCGGCCTATCACTTGGATTTCGCGGGGCCAAGTGCATCTGACAATATATGACAGATCGCATTGACACGGCCATACCGTTATTTTTTTTGGTGTCTTTTGTGCTGCTTTTCGGAGGATCTTTATACTACTTTCCAATGGATTTGGGTGCTACCATTATGTGGCTTTTATAATGAAAAAAAAAAAACAGGTTCAACAATGCCCTAGCTATTGCGACAATCCAAATAAATGAAAGAGTCTAGCAGGTAACTGCCCCAGAAAATTTCTCAGTCACCTTTTAATACAATCCAGGCTTCCTCCTTGTGTATAGTCCCATCGCTGTAGCTAAATCTTGCAATGCAACTGAAAGTTAACCTCCCTCATTAAAGCGGCGGCAGCCTAAATAAGAAAGAAGAGGGCTACAACATACAGCGATCCCTTATTAAGAATAGAAGAATAACTGGTAATTCGCCCAGTAGGTTTTTCTTTCCTCCTTGGGGATTATTTGAAGCTATTCACACTGCTGACCCACCTTAACCCCCACCCCCACAATAATCTTATTTCTCTTTTACGTGTGTACATACAGTCAGACTGGAGGGAAGGTATGGAAGATAGAAAATGTAATTTGCTCTTAGATACTGCATCGTGTTGGACAGGGCTCCTTGGCCTAAAGTTATTTTGGTTTGTATTTTCAGATATGCATCATGACCTTTCGTTATAGAGCTGCATCATCAGACATCAAAAATTCACAAACGAAGCTATTCGCCTTGCTGAGCTTGTAGGTCCTTCCACCCAGCAAAAGCCAAGACATCATCACGGTCTCTCCATCCCCAAGCAATGCAATAATGCCGTGCAAGCAATTGCCACTCCTCCATCTCATCCAGCATCTCTAGCCCAGCAACTCTTTCCTTCTCATCTTCGTTAACCCACTTCTTCCAAATAAACTCAATATCAGCGGCAGCCTGGCCATCCCCAAAGCCCTGATCTTGGAAGCGGTCTCGCTGCGCCTCAAGCGATGCATACCTAGCGAGAGTCTTGAGCTGGATGCCCCGCGCCGCAAGGTTCGACACCATCGTACGACCAAAGGCATCATTGGGCCGAATAGGCTCATAAAGAATCAACCCAAGCGGAGGAACATTTACCCGCGCCTCCTGCAAGATGTCTCCGGGCCCGGATAGTGGATGCCCATGACCAAAAAGGCGTTGCGTAAAGAACGCAACTACCTGCTCCGCTTCAGTAGGCGATAGGTAGACCAAACAGCACTCGGAGATCAGCAAAGTCGGCAATCCCGTGTCCACACCTGGCAGTGCTCCAGCAGGGTCACTGCATGTCGACAGCGACCGCAGATCAACCGGGTGGACATGGTACGAGGGCGAATGGAGCGCGTCCCCCGCCTCCGACACAGTAATTCGAGTATCCTTTTCCGACGAAGCCTGCGACGAGTCAATCCCAAGCGCCCTCTGTAGCAAAGGCGCCGATCTAATCGCGCGGATCTTTTCCGCTGTGTTGACGGCGAAATCGAGCTCGTGGTAAACGAAGTCCGGGGTTTGGCGCGACGAGAGAAGCCGGAAGACGCGCGTGTCGGACCCGGCACCTAGAGATATGATCTGTTTCTTGTGTGTATTTTCCGGTGAGAACGGGCCGAGGAAACGCGCCACGAGCTGGTCGATAGCTGTTGTGCGGGCGTAGGTTCCTAATGCGCGGGGACGTGTCCGGGTCAGCCGTATGCTCTCTTGTCATCGGGAATAGCGTAGTTTGAGGGGTCGGGCTCACCTCTGTTGATGATTGGCAATCTACGCGTCGCCGACCCGGCAGGTGTCAATGATGCCGCGTACACATCCTCTAGATAGCCTAGCTCGACGGCGCTGAGGCGGGACACGCTTGCGTCATTGTCTGTGCCTTGGACGATGCGGTCTTTTCCAGAAGGGAGTCCAGCTTCTTCTGTGCGACTTGTGCCACGGCCTCGGCCTCGGCCTCGTCGTAGAGTGTTTAGGTTGGGAATATGGGAGGCCATGAGGAATGGAGGAAGCTTGGAGCTTGAGCTTTCGTGGTGGGGTAGCTATCCGGGCGTGGATGTCGCCTCTTAACTTCATACCCGATTTCTCTCTCCCAATATTAAATTTCCAACCCAGTTCCAGAATTTGTATCTTCGTCGAATCATTCTTATCGCATCCTCGCTCCTACGTCTTGTTTGATCGACTCGGTGACTACAACCCGTTCAGGTAGAAAGTTGTAAGATTCAACTTCTTACGTTCAACAGCGAAGAAAACGATATTATAACATTGAACATCTCGGTCCAACATTTAGTACAACTGCTCCCTACTGCCAATACCACCGAGTTACTACAGAGCTACGTCTGTTCAACTCCCCAAGCACAACATCCCTGGTAGGGCTGCCACTAAATCTACCTATGCCAACTTACTCTTGACAAAGGCAATAGCCTGTGCGCCATACTCAGCTCCATAACCCTGGTGGGTCGCGGCGTTACTCCCGTTGCAGCAGTACGGGTCTGTGGAGTCGCAGTATGATTGAATCTTACTAGCCGACGGGCAAAAGAAGCCAGAAGGACGTGCGTCAAACTATGTCCCAAGAGTTAGATGCAAGGCTTCCAAGTTCAGGGGGAATATAGGGCAGTCCATACACCTCTAGCAGCACAAGTTCCAACATCATACGACAACCCTGCCACATACAGCGGGTCACCCATGAAGATGGCTGCCTTGACCATGTTCACAGCGGACGTTGACAGCTGGACCGCGCTGTTGGAGTAGCCTTGGTTGGGGACGCCGCCGCCGCACAATGCTGCGTCCATGATTTCACCACCCTAAAGCATCGTAAGTACATAGTTGGTCTTTCGTTTTGAATAGCCGAGGAAATCTAACCCACCTGGGAATATCCGACCAGAACAAGCTTGGTCGATGGACACTGGGTGTTATAAGAGTTCACAGCCGAGGCGACGGCTGCAATGCCCTGGGCAACTGAGTTGGAGTAGCTCACGCTGCCGCAAGACGATTGTCCACCGCATGCAGGGTAGCTGATGGCCTCGGCCGTAGAGCCTGGATAGGCATTGAGAAGGCCATTGACAACCGTGATGGACGAGCCGTATCCGGGAGATACGGTGGTCTCGCGTGCACCAAAGATGTGGACACCCGGGCAGGAGATACGTTTCTCAATTTCAACCTCAACCGGGACAGCGAGGGCGCCGCCGGCGAGTAGGGAGAATGTCAAGATTTTGGGAATCATGATGTCAATGGATATCAATCAGAAAAGTAAAATAAGCGATTTGTTACCTTGGATATGCTCGGGTTTGCAAATAGGTTTGATATCCAGACTCCGGAGACCACGGTTGCTTTATATAGATCTCGAATGTCCCCTTGGCAACAGAAACCGGAATATCATTGTATTTTGCCGTATAGCAGGCCATCAAGAAATGAATATGACCCTTTGGACCGGGCGGGGCTTTTGCCTAATCGTTGTCTGATTATGAAACCTCATCTGCATTGTGGCAGTATTGCCAGGTTCAGAATGGAACAGGAGCTACATAATTAGGCTGAATAAACCGGCGGATAGGCCTAAAAAGACACACCATTGGATCTGATGTTGGAAATGTGACCCGCCTGCATTTAACTTAAGCCAGTTCTCCGCGTTATTTCAGGCAATAAATCGTCAGATCTTTCTGGGGTATGCAACAGGGATCCTCGCTCTGACCGGTTTGGAACGAGCTATGATTCTTCACAAACATTTCGGCAAAAAGGGCTATATTCATTCCCAGGGGTATAGGCAGATATAGAGACCTGCAGCATTGACATCGAAGATAGTCAGTTCGGCTTCCCAATCGGGTATGGCTCGAGACGTGCTTGTTTCATTGGTCTCAGCTATAGGGTCCAGTGTGCAGGGCATAAAGGTACATGTCTAAGTGGTCCTTTTATTCCTGATGGAATCTGAAATACTAAAAGTAGGATCATGGAATACTTTTTTCACGGCTATCGGACCGAATCTGAGGACCGTGGTCTATCTTTGTCATGTCATGTCTCTTTTCTATGTACAAGTGAACTTAAACAAAGTATCTAAACATAAACAAAGTTGTTTCGGCAAAGAGGACAAGTGCTCTGGTTGCTGCTCTTGAACCAGCGGAACAGACAGACCGAGTGGAAGGTGTTCTTGCAAGTGGCACAGCGCTTGTTCGGTGTCTGCATATCTGTTGAGATGACAGAGTAACAGATAGCACACTCGCTCTGGCCCTTCAGAGCACCTTGGACGTTTCGTCGGAAGGCCAGCAATCCATCAACTAGATTGCCATTTGCAAACATAATAACTCCCTGGATCGTCAGCAGCCAGCTCTTCCATTTCTTCTCATCCACAAGCACGCGACTGCGACCGACAACCAACGCGGGTTGAAGCGGGTACGCGGGTGGGAGAGTTATGGAAATAGCAACTGGAGGCGACTCTTCATCGACTGGAATGCTGGCAATGATTTCGCCTGTCTTCGAGGAAATCTTCACCTCCAATGCGCGTTCTTCGTCTGCATCCTGGGTGGCAATCCAATCGGCCACGCTTTTGAGTGCATCTTCGACAACAAGGGGGGATATCTGGGAACGGTATTAGTTATAGTTACTCGTTTAGAAGGGTCCAATATCAAAAATACTCACATATTTTTCTGACCAGGCTTCCACCGGACCCTTGGTGCGTTTCTTAGTGTCAATCCACCAATTCTTGGTCATGTTGGCAGTGTATCTCAGGCAAAGATAGTACAGATGTACCAGGAGCCACTGTGTCTCCTTCTCGGCACTCTCGGACTCATCTGGCTCAAATGATCGAATATCAAGTTTCGATGCATCGATCATCTTTCCGTGAGATTTCTGAAGGAAATCAAACGTGAATTCCAGCAATGGGAGGAGGATATTGTTCTCTCTGATGCTTGCCGTGTAGTATTCCTGCACAGGGAGCGACTGATCGGACTGTTAGCAAGTTTATTTTACAATTTATCGTAAGAGTCAAAACTTACAGCATTTGAGAAGTGGTCAAATACCACCTTCCAGCTGAGAAGGTACGCCCGCATACTGGTCCACATCTTGTCATCTCCGTAAGCAGCAGAGACCATTTGCATTGTCGGAGGCTCAAGCAATAAAGACACGAGCTCATCAGGAAGGCTGACTGCAGTCTTTGATAAGGCAACATCAAAAGATACCTTCTCCTGCACATGGGGGATATAGTGATGGAGAAGAGTGTAAGCAGTTCGCTGAATTGCTCGGCTGTGTGCAGTTAGAAGATGGAATGTTTCACTGACATCCTCCAATTTGTCAACGGGGATAGTGTTAATCAGGCGTCGTAATAAGTCAACAGCAACATCCCGGGGTTGATGGAATGTGGTTGAGGAATCTATATTTTGTTAGACATATCAGTGATGAGAGAAACCCGAAGCGCTTACCAAATGTGTCAATGGTGGAGGCCAGGGCATTGAAAAGACCGGCCTTTCGATCTGACCAAGCATCTTGGACATCGTCATTGCTGTCACTTTCCGAGATAGACTTCAATCGTGCGAAGAGTCTGAAAGATGACACCAGTAATGGTAGACCCTCTTCACCTCCGTTGGTTCCCCGCAAGACAGAATTTAGAATGTCCATGCTTTCTTCCCAATGAGATCCATAAATTTCCCCAAGAGCTGGAAGGACAAGGGACAAGGTTTTGATGACTTCGGATTTCAAACCAAGAAACATTGAGTCGGATTGCAGACATTCAATCAAGTTCTTGGTAAGGAAAACCAATCTTTGTGTCGGAATGGTGGAGACAACATCTTCTTCCCCAGACAATAGAATGTTTAACAGAACCAGCTTCCGCAATCCTGCGCAAAGTTAGTACCGGTGCTATATCTGCTAATGTGTTATCAGACACTTACCAACTTGGGAAACATCCTGGGGCTTGAGTCCAGTGGAATCGGCAACTAGCTCATTGCAGATTCTGTTTCCGATGGGATTTGAAAGTATGGAGCTTCGCAACACTGCAAACCACGATGCCGAGCGGATGAGGTTTGCTGTTCGGGCCTCCCTGCAGATCTTCGCGACGTCCTCTGAAGATTTGGAAATTTGCAATGAATCCGCAACAGTCATTATCTTGACGAAGGCTTCGCCGACCCTATAGTCCAAGGGAGATGTACCCTTTAGTTCCTCTAGTCTGATTTCCCAGAACTCGGCAAGCGAGGAGGAAACGGTCTTCTCAGGTGCGAAGCTGACTGGCTCATTGTCACGAGTCCAGTTACCGAGCACCTTTCGGCCAGCAAAAACAATATCCATGTATTCTTCGCGCTGATCAGCCAGCTCGAGACCTGAGATGCCGTTGCAATTCTCAATGCTCAAATCGTCATCTATCAGTTGAATTGCTAATGGCAAGAAATGGAACAAAGTCTCTAGGTCGCCTTGGTCCAAATGTTTCCATAGCTCAGAAGTAGAGAGAAGGTTGATGGTGTAGATTGCCAGGCGGAACGCAGAAGAGCGATGGTCTGAATCGCGAGGAATGGTTGGCCATAAAGCCTTGAAGGAGTCAGATAGCTCTCGCTGGATCAAGTGAACAACGCCTCCTAATGGACTGGTTATAGCAGTGGAAGGTCGAGGTGGAAGTTGGAGAAAGGGGGTCAGGGATTTCTCCCATGAATGACGAGAGGGCAGAATATCCTTCACGCTACCAGTGGCCGTAAGACCTGGCAGCAGTTCATTTGCGATAGCAAGAAGTGATTCAATCCTGAACCAAAGTTAGCACAATGTCCTACGGAATATAGTAGCAATGAAGGACCCACGATAATGATTCTTCATCCACATGACTGAATCCATGTTGGAGAATTTCGATGCCCGACTTGGCACTCGTATCACCAATACCAGATTCCTTCAATGATTTCAACAACGCTTCCGCCAAGCTTGCTACCTCTTCAGATGGTGACTCTGTGAGGAAAAGTAGCTTTCCTGCTAACTTTGACCCATGAGCTCCATTTTGGAACTCCCGAAAGGAAGATGGTGCAGACTTCCCAATATGAGAGAGCCCATGCAAGGTATCAAACACTTTATCTTCTGAAGATAATGCGTCGATCAAAGATAAGAAAATCTGATCCATCAATTCGCCATGTGATGTTTTGTTTTGAAGAACTGCAGTGATGATAGGCCAATGAGCATGGCTTCCTTGGCAAGCTTTGCCAAGAGCCCGCACAACAAGTGAGTTGAGCTTGTCTTTCTGCTCAACATCATTGAAATCGAGAGAAGAAAGTAAGCTTTGAAGTACGTGCACATTAGACTGTTCTGGCTCGAGGGCCAAGGCTCGCTCAACGACGTTCTCGAAACTGAATGCAAATCCATCCCACTCCCGACATTCTAAGATGATCGAGATCAATCGATCGGCAGATGGTGAAAGCAAAAGCTCCGGTGCATCATTTTGCACAAAGCTTTGAAGGTCTCGGGATTTTTTCGCAACAGATGGCAGGCTGCGAACACATTCCAGCACCGTGCCGGCCGCTCCATATGGTTTCCCATTACGAGTGCGCAGTACTTCGAGACATCCTTCGAGAAGGGAAGTAGTTGTTCCTTCAAAGACTTCCGATACTTGAGGCTCGACCTCGGTATCTGAGACCCGTGAGAGAACAGCAGACTCCAAGTTCAAGAGGCGTTTAGATTGGGCACATATTGAGTCTTGAGATTCACGGAAGTCCTTTGATTGCTCTGGGGACGATAGCTTCACAGCTTCTAGCAGTCCATCGGAAAGGCATGTACACAATGATTGCAGTTCCTGGGCTTGCTCGGCGGAAGCCAGAGTGAAAACATAATCCACACAAATCCCTTCGGCTAACTCGTCCGGAAGTGACCATTGAGTCAGCTTCGGGTCAATTTGCACATACTGCACCACCAAGGGAGACAGTCTCTGTGTGATGAATTCGGATTTTTGCTCCTGGGGGACCAACGTTGCAAGCCATGCTCCTATATGGGTATAGGATTTCCATCCGATGGCAAGGTTTGAACGCGGTTCTTCTCTCGAGTTGAGGCCTTCTTGCAAAGCCTCAGTCAAGGCAATTGCACTGGTAGAAGTGATTCCATGGTCAGCAGTGGCCTTGTCAGCACCTGCTAGTACTTCTTGGGGGATGATTCGAAGCAATTGGTCTAAATTCGACCAAAAGTTAGAATGTCCGCCCTGGGACCCCTTCTGCATGTACTGGCGCAATCGCTTCGAGGCAGATGATTTCCCAGTGTAGTCATCGGTCCATATTT